TGCCATGTTAGAAGAAAATTTCCTATAAAACCTTAAGAACTTTCTTTAAGAAATTTTCCATCACGACATTTTAAGATTGATTCCAAATTACAATAGAAGTTCCAGTGGGAATCCCGCAAAAATGTCTTATTCATTCCTTCTGTAAGATAGATAAACGTCATTACTAAGAATGACCGCCTCTATAAAAACTGCAATTAGTGAGTTTTAAACCCCTAAAAAGGTCCTTTAAACTTAAATGCCCCAATGGGATAACAGTCAGGAATATTATGAAAAGTCATAGCCTATGCAATCATTAAAAAAAACTAGTTTTGTGTTATGTTGGAATCCTATTAAAGAATTCCCATTAGGAACGTTAAAGATAGGCCTACATTTAAATGAAATATTAATGGGAACACTGTACAAATTTCTTCACGCGTTCCTTCAGGGTTTAAGTTGACAGCTACTGCAAAGACAGCCAGGGGTTTTACCTGGGGATGAATTTGAGCTGATCTCCCAGGCGGGATTTAAAATCCTCCCAGGCGGCAGAGAAACTTTCCCCGGTGTGTTCGCTGCTCATCTCCTCGTCCTTCAACAAGTGTGACTCCTGAAAGCCGTCCATGAACTCCTCCAGATTGATCGTGCCGTCTTTGTCGGTGTCAAGTCTGGCGAAGAGCGCGTCCGTCTCGGTGGGTCGCACGCGCAGCTCGGAGCATATTCTGACGAACTCCCATTTCTCGATGCGTCCGGAGTGATCCACATCACAGGCGTGGAAGAGCTCGCGGAGTCTCTCGTTCTGCGCGTCAGACCCCATGACTGCTCCACAGACTGATTACTTAGCAAACGTAATGAGAGGGACTTTTCAGACGGTGTTGACCTTGTGGTATCATGCTTTTGCACTCACTGGCTCCAAGAATCCAGTGAGTGAAATAAACGCCCCTTACACAAACTGCGCAAAGCAAACAAGCTCGTTCAACAGTTTGAGGCGTTTAGTTTGCAGCGGCGCATCACGAGGTGTTTACAAAATACTTAAAAAATACCTGCGAATTACAGTACAAGAAAACTGTAGTTACTCATTTTAGGTAATGTATTCTGACTACTTTTTAGATTCGCCTACTTTTTATCTAACTTTGTACCATTAAACTTACCATATTGATATAAAAAGGCAAAAAGAAAATGCATTCCATTTTTTGACATCAACATCCTAAAATGCATTAAACATTACATTAGATCAGGGTTTCCTAAACTGGTCTTAAAGGGGTCATATGATGCGATTTCAAGTTTTCCTTTCTCTTTGGAGTGGTACAAGCTCTTGGTGCATGAAGAAGATCTGTAAAGTTGCAAAGACTAAAGTCTCAAATCCAAAGAGATATTCTTTATAAAAGTTCAGAGTCAGCCACGCCTACCTAAAACGGCTCGTTCTAACACGCCCCCACACGTCTACATCACTGTGTGGGAAGATTTGCATAACGCCGCCCAAATGTTCACGCAAAGAAAGAAGGCGTAACTTTTATTCTCGCTGTAGTATTGTTGCTGCCATGTCGTGAAGACGCTGTGTGCTTCGTTGTGAAAGCGAAACTACTTTGTTTGGTCTTCCAAAAGAGGACGATATCCGCTTCATCATGCCTAGAGCTGATCCGTGCTGGTTGCTGAGGAAATACAACAGTATGGTGAGGGGCGTAACATTTCCGTCACACGCTTGAGGTATTCGGCCAATCACAATGCACTGGATAGCTGGCCAATCAGAGCACACCTCGCTTTTCAGACCGATGAGCTTTGTAAAAATCGACGTGTTTCAGAAAGGCGGGGCATAGAGGAGAAACAATAATGTACAGTATGTGGAAAATAATGTGTTTTTTTTTTACTTTAAACCGCATAAATACATTTTCATTACACCAAATACACAAAATAATGTTCTTTTTAGCAGCATCATATGACCCCTTTAATGTAAGAACCACGTTTTTGAAGGTCACTGGATATGATGAAGACATAGATAAAGCTACATCACCAGTGTTTAGTAACTTGCATAATTATTTGTTTCATACTTGGTCTAATTGCTTGAGAGGTGCTTTTCTCACCCACATTCAGATGCGTTTACATAGGCCTACAGGATCGTTATTGGTATATTGTGAATATAGTCAAAGCTATATGACACACACAGTAGGATTTTTAGAAAGGGCAATTTAAGAGAATCAGGGAGAAGCAATTAATTATGATTTACTGCCATTGTGTAAAAATATAGAAAATGTAATATACTCTAATTACGAGTACATGGTTTTTGGAATCTGATTACATAATCCAGATTACATGTAATCAGTTACTTCCCAGCTCTGTCAGTAAGGGACCAATGTAGTTTGGGACCACGTATTGGTTTGCAGTTGTTATTAAACTTGCACACATTATTTTACACAAAAATTTAAGAAAAATATTTGTTTGATATTTTTTTTAAACAGTATCTGGGTATAAGCGTGAATGTTCGAGCTTGGAAAATGTTTAAAAAATATTTACTTAAAATTCATTTAAAATAAAAATGCATTTATTTATTTACATGATATGAAAAAAAGTTGTCAAATTGTGAGACAAATTATGCATTTAAAAGCTACTTTGTACTCTTTATGTTAGCCAGTGGTTCATTTAATATATCTCTCATGTCATTTGCAAAAATGCATTTTTATTTTTACATAAATATCATGTCTTTTTACCGCAGCATGTTTTTCTGCAGACGTCCCCAACCAAATTCATCAGACCAGCATGAGCTGTTGAGTCTCCAGCACTGTCTGTCTAAAACCGCTTCAGTGATTTGGAGATCAGCAGGTTTGGATCACGAGACAAGCACACAACAATGGAGGACCATCTGGAAGACGAGGACCGCTGGGTATATTCTGCAGTCATAATAGTGTGTAGATCATAATAAGATCTGGGATATTATTCTTCACTCTTGTTTTGCTATTATTGTCTTTGTATTGATGTTTTTGCCTCAAAACAAGGATTCCAAGATGATTATACATCACAGAAACATCATGTGCAGCTGCTCAGAAATATTTTTAAATTCATCTCTGTTGCAACAATCTTCACAATGTTCACAGAACAACACCAGTGGGCTCTTTATGCAGGCGCAAGGTAATGTAAAAACTTACTTTGCCATGATGTAGTTTAATGCCTGAAACACTAGATGGAGACAAAACATTTAAGACAAACAACCCTCATCAGTTTCCATGCCTGTCAAACTTAGCCACATATGGAAATTGATCAAGCACATATATGTGGGTACCCAGTCGAATAATTTTACAAAAGTATGTAAAAGTAACAATATGAGTCTATTAAAAATGCCATGAAATAAGTTGAATATTGTGATCTGTTCACAGATCATTGAAACATACTGCCCTTGAGCAAACTCACAATGTCTCTCATAGTGAACACCGTGTCATGAACCTGCAGCACAGAGAATTAGGTGATAAGCACAGCTGGAGAAAACTACTGAAACAACACACCATCTGTGACCAGCATCTGCAAACATCTCAACTGTCCGTTAGAAACCACAATGCAGATTTAACCTGTTCAGTCGCTGTACTTGTTGTGCATCTTTGCACAAAAATTCTGCACATAAACCTCTTTAAAGGAACTTATTGGCCATGCACAAACATACAGGCATTCTCTAGCTGTATTTAAAAGGACAAAACCTTGTGCTTGTTGTGAATGCGTTCACATCCCACTGCTGTAGCATAAATTGGACAGCTCAGATCCGACATTGGTTTGATGTAGAAAAATGGATAGTAAAAAAAAAAAAAGAAGAGTCAGCTGTCGTATTTCATGCATCATTCTTACTGAAATGAATACTGAACACAGCATCAGTGAGGGTTAAAAATAGAGCATGTCACTGTGAAACATGTCTGGTTCTGTTCAGCTTTGCGAGTTTTAATGCATGTGCTGTTAAGATTCATAGCATTATACAATATTTAAACATTTTGATCAATACCTAAGAGAATTTCTGGGATGCATCACTGAACTTGAAGCCAGGGCATCGTGCTTATTTTATTACTGTACATCCCAGTGAGGTGGCTGGATCTCACAAAAACTGTCAAGAATATAATATTGCAAACAATAAATAAAAGTAAAGATATAAATGGTAGCATGCAGTAATGCAACAATTCTCATTGGAATTAATTTAATGTAAATAAAACAATACTGAAATTATGAAAAAGTGTAAAATTGTATGAGTATGCGATAATGTTAGTATTTGCTTAATTTAGGGTAATTTTAATTGCAAAAATCATTCTGCCCAAACAGAATAAATGTCATTAATGAGAATTTTGGGGTTAAATGTGCATAGTTGTAATGAAAATAATGTTAAAATGCCAATTAAGTTAATTAAATATATATATTTATTGATTATTGAAATGGTTAAAAATGTATTATATGTTCCCCCCCCACAGAAAATACAGCAAAATAAATTCAAACAGAAAACACTAATTTAAAAAAAAAATTGTAATATTTCACAATATTATTGTTTTTAAAATAATTGCAGCCTTGGTGAGCATAAGAGACTTTTAAAGAAAGAAAGAAAGAAAGAAATGTAATGGACTTCGTTTTGTACTTCAAAATCATTTACATAATTTACTTAATTTTATATATGGAGTGTTCCAAATTTTGTATCTCATACTTATGATTAACATGGTATTCAGTATTTATGCTTTAGACGTAATTCGTGAAAACAAAGGTAAAGCAAGAAAAAGGAAAATTGTGACAAGTACAGGGAAAGTATCTGTCAACCCAACTAAAAGAGAGTGAATCGGAGAAACAGGAGGAAAGGGAGAGACATATAAAAGCAGAACGACAGAAAATAGGAGATGGAGAGATGTGTATGATATAGCTAGAAATGACAGATACAGAGGGGGAGGGAGAATAGAGAGCGAGAGTGTGCTGTTAGGTAGACAACAAGCCTCAGTGTGTCTCTTGCCATGCTTGGACTGGCAGCGTTCTGGACTGAGCCACTCTCCACACCGCACGGGAAAAACAATTGTGTGTGTGCAGGCTGAATGAGTGAGTCCAGCCCAATGCACACCACACCTCTGCAACTGTCTGTCCGAACTGTCCTTACTCCTGTGTGGATGCGTGTGTGAGTGTGAACGCACATTTCTCCATCAGTGTGTGTCTGTATGTGTGTCAGACGCTGGCTTGCTCCGCGCCGGGTCTCTCCGAGCTCCAGTGCTCTTTCTGCCTCAGTCTGAGGACGGACACATCTCGCCTCTCCTGCTGGAGTTTGGCCGCTGCTGCTTTTGCCCTGGAACACATTTGGCCTCCATGAGTGCAGCTGAGGAAATCCAGCCTCTCCCTGGAAGGTAAGACCAACCTGGAGTGTCACAGCAGCAGGGGATGTGTTACCTCATGCTTGTTTTACTGAAATCAGAGGCTTTTCCACTGGGACAAATTTCGGAATGCAACCTTCCAGAGTTTCCCTGATTCAGTTTATCTGCTTTGTTTGTTTTATGTGCAAAGTAAAAATAGTTCAGAATGTATGAGCGTGCATTGAATATTGCATACATTTGATAAAAATGCAGTAAAAACTGAAATATTATTACAATTAATTCATAGTTTAGTTTCCCTGATGCCATTTATCTGCTTCATTTGTTTTATGTGCAAAGCTAAAATAGACCAACATGTAAGATCTTACATATGAAATAGATTTGATCAAAAAAATACTGTGAACAGCAGCAATATTGTGAAATATTATTATGATTTAAAATAACTATTTTCTATTTGAATATATTCTAAAATGTAATTTATTTCTGTGATGCAAAGCTGAATTTTCAGCATCTTTACTCCAGTGTTATTATAAAGAGTGAGCATGTGAAATAATACTTGTCTCTGATTCAGAACTTTAAAAAATTATTTTGGTGTGGGACGTTACTTATAACAAGCATCCAAGGCATCGCAAAGCAATTAGGTTGTGCTTAATTCCGTAGATAAATGTTATAGCTTGTCTCGTTCATTTTTTTTGCTGCATGCGATGACTTGCACATGACATGTTCCTTCAGTCGGATGGACATTTTGGCATCTAGCCTGGACGTTGTGACACAAACAATGACAGGCTGACGTGCGTCACCATCTCCTATAACATTATACATGACTCTTATAGGAAAAGCAAATCTCCCCTGTCAAACGTCAGAAGACTAATTTGAAAGTAATTGGCTCGATTGGCTCTGCTGGAATGTACTGTCCTCCATTCATTGCTAAATATAGTTTGCAACGTTGCAACAGAGTCTTACTTTGAAATACAAGCAACATGCGAGTGTTCGTATGAGTTTACAAGTAATATAGCATTTCAAGCAATCTAATTTTACTGCATTACTAATCATTTTAAATGTAAATATTGGTGTCTTTTATATCATTTAGTTTTGAAACCCACTGAAACTATTACTGAATTATTACCAAAATTACCAAAATTAATTACTGTAAAAAATTGGTCACACTTTATTTTAAGGTCCACTTCGCGATATTAACAAACCATTAACTATGACGTTTGCCTCAATAAACTCCCAATTTGCTACTTATTATTAGTTAGTAAGGTAGTTGTTAAGTTTAGGTATTGGGTAGGATTAGGGATGCATAATATGATCATGCAGAATATGTGCTTTATAACTACTAGTACTAATAAACAGTCAATATGTTAATAATAGGCATGCTAATAAGCAACTAGTGAGAACTGGTCCCTATACTAAAGTGTTACCAAAAAATCTAATAAATTGCTGATTGTTTTTGGGATACATTTGTGGGTGTTTGATAAGTAAAATGGACATTGTTATATTATTATGTTAATTAAAAATGCTTTTCAGCATCAAGATTACTTCAAATGTATTTGAACGTACATGTAAATGTATATTTTAGATGATGTATTCACTCAAGTAGTTCTGTTGTGTGACTTTACAAAAACTACAACATTTTTTAAATATTTGTTCAAAAGATTATATTTGGTGAGATGTTTTGAAAGTCGGTAACACTTTACATTAGTTAACATTAGTTAACTACTTTAGTTAAAATGAACAATACTTCTACCGCATGTATTAATCTTAATTTGCTTGTTAACATTAGTTAATGCACTCTGAATTAACATGAACTAACAATGAACTGTATGTTCATTAACTAACATTAACAAAGATGAATAAATACTGTAATAAATGTATTGTTCATTGTTTGTTCATGTTAGAAAATACAACTAATGCAAACTTATTGCAAAGTGTTACCTGAAAGTCTATCTTCACCAATGCTGCATTTATTTAAAAAATGCATTAAAAACAGATAAAATTGATAAACAGATAAAATAACAGTAATATTGTGCAATATTATTAACATTTAAAATAACTGTGAATGTATTTTAAAATGTAATTTATTCCTGTGATCAAAGCTGAATTTTCAGCATCATTACTCCAGTCTTCAGTGTCACATGATCTTCAGAAATCATTCTAATATGCTGATTTGCTGCACAAGAAATATTTATTTGTTCTTAATATTGTTTTTTGTGGAAACCATGATCATTGTTTTTTTCAGAAAGTTCAGAAGAACTGCATAAAAAAAACTTTTGTAACATTATAGATGTCTTTACTGTAAATATACAATCTAAATATACGTCTGTAACAGAATTTATTGGCACTCGACTATAGCTGCTGTTGTTTCTGCAGTGTCATGTGACATCACAGTATGACACCATGAGCTTTATTACAAGGACGAGCCCTCTAGAGTAACCCGGGGCTGAGTGCCCTGCTCAAGGGCACAGTGCTGTTGACTTATAGCTCCCTTCTTGGGGGCATCGATCCAGAGACCTTCCAGTCTTCAGCCTTGAGGGTTAACCACTGGAACACACCACCCCTTTAGATGCTGCTGGGTGATCAAAATGTTCAAACTGCAAAAGATTCTGTCGTTCTCAGATGGGTTCATTTAGCCTTGACCACTGTCCACGGTTGATAAAAACTGGATGTAGTGGGCACTTTTCGATTTTCACCACACACATTGCATTACATTTTGGTTGAAAACCACTTTGTCTTATCTAACCACAAAATCTTTTCCTAAATGGGTCACTGTTATGCTTTTTGGCGAACTCCAGATGTATCTTCACATGATTATTTCTGAGTAATGTCCATTGTGCAATCCGCTCTGACTGCATTCACACAAACTGGTGACTCTTTATTCTGTTCTCTGCTACTGAACTTCTAAAAATAAAGGCTCAAAAAAGGGATTTTCCACAGTGATGCCATAGAAGAACCATTTTTAGTTCCCCAAAGAATCAGTTGTCAGTTCTTAAAAGATCCTTTTTTTTTTCTAGAACATTTTATAATAACCTAAATAACCTTTTTCCACTATAAAGACCCTTTTGTGCAATGGAAAGGTTCCACACTCTTAAAATCAGAAGGGGGTTTCTCCATGATGCCATAGAAGAACCATTTTGGGTTCCTCAAAGAACATTTTAGGGGAAGTTTATCTTAGTATAAGAACATTTTAAAAGTTTAAAGAACCTTTTTCTACTATCAAGAACCTTTTGTGTAATGGAAAGATTCCATGGATCTTAAAGGCTCTACATGGAACTATTGATTTAAATAAAGGACCTTTATTTTTAAGAGTGATTGGCAGGTTTCTTTCTGTGGTTTCTCTCAGAAGACTTCCTCTTGTTTGTGTTGAGCCATTTGAAGGACAAGCTCTTTAGACGGTGTCAAGATGATGTGATGTACGTAGCTACCGCTTCAGTATGGACCAATGAACACTTTGTGTTGACTGAAATTACAGTATTCACTGAAAATCACTGACTGAAATCCCATGCAAACCGAAATTTGTATATAGAAAGGTATATTTTCTATCATTCATTTTTAAGTGTACTGAAACCACAATATCCAGCTAAATATCAGTGTAGAATTTGAAATCATAGTAAAAACTGATAGCGTTAGAGATCGTATATATAAAAAAGGAGATACAACAGTAGAAAAGGCTGAAAACTGATCTCCAACAGCCAGATGACAGTTTCGGTTCACTGGTGTGTGGAGACGAGGAGAGCTCACTGTCCACTGACAAACACACAAACGGATGTCTCTGGGTGTTTATGGATGAAATACGATCTGTTCCTACAGGCAGTGTGTGGGCTTCTGATCATATACAGTACATTGCATAGATGTTTCTGATTTAAAACAACTGTGGGATTTTGGGGACAACTCACTAAGAGTTTGTCTGTTCGAGTTTGTCTGTTGTCTGTCATATTATAATGATCACTAAACTGCACAGTTTATACAGTATAGTTTATTTTTAATGTGAAGTAAAGCCTAATATGCTACGATAAACATCTAATCCACATTATGATACAGAAGCTGTGTTCCCATCAGGTTGCTAAAGTAATTTGTAGATCACAAAACAGAACAGTGGCTGCTTTACGTCTGGAGTGAGAGTGTGTCAGACAGGTCAGGCATGGCATAGTGACCAGAGAAACCTTTGAGGTGTTTTGTGATAACAATATTCTCACAAATTGTTCAGCTACAAGACTTGTTGATGCAAGGTCAAACAATTTTCCTAGATACATCTAGGAATTTATTCGGTAAATACAGTACTGCTGAAAAGTTTGGGGTTGGTAAGATTTTTTAAATATTTTTGAAAGAAGTCTCTTATGCTCATCAAGACTGAATTGATTTGATAAAAAAGACAGTAATACTGTGAAATATTATTACAATTTAAATGAACTGTTTTCTATTTGAATACAAATGACAATTTTTCTAGAGAAAAATTTATACTTGTGACCAAAGCTGAATTTTCAGCATCATTACGCAAGGAACGCAGAAACGTAAGGCGATTATGATCGGAAAACACCAAGATGGGCACTGAACCTCCACCCATATACACAAAGTGCTGTAGGCAAATCAATCTGCCAGACTAGAGCCATGTTGTTGAGCCGAAATTAGTTCATTAACATCAGAACCTTTCGAGGCAAGAGCCTTTGCACGCGTCACGTGGCTGAAAACACGTTAGGAAAATCAGAAGCATTTTTATCATCCTTTATGGCAAGTGAGGGGGTCATCCTGACAACAGGAGGTGGTGGAACATCATGCCAAACTTGTCCCACAGCCAAATTATTACCCAAGATGACATCCACTCCTTCCACCGGCAAAGAAGGACACAAGGCCATCACAACCTCACCTTGCACAAGATCTGAATACAGCTGGATTTTGTGCAAGGGCGCAGAGAAAGTCTGTAATCCAATTCCTCGAATTAAGACACTACTACCCACACTTGATTCAGAGGAAAAAGGTAATGTAGACTCTAATATAAACGATTCCAATGAACCTGTGTCCCGCAATATCTTAACAGG